TGAGCTAAAAGCCGGCCGTGGGTGTTGAAAGATGTGATGGAAAACAGAACCGTTGCCGGCTGGTTCCAAATTGCGACCGAGAGCTGGAAAGATGGGGCGGATGGAAAACAAATAAAAGTTATTGGGGAGGGGGAGGGGAAAGGGAGGGAGAAAGGGCCGGGATGCCAAGATTGAGAAGGAGGGAGGGGGCAGCCTCAGGTTCTGCAAATAGCTGGGAATCCTGCTTGTTGGCCTTGCAAAGGGCTTGGTGGGCATCTGGCCCCTTCCTGCCCCTTCTCCAAGGTCTCGGGGGATAAGAAAGACCCTTGCACCCATTCAGATTTTGCACACCGACCTTCGTATAGATAGTCCTCGGCTTACAACCTTTTGTTTAGTGATCGAAGTTACGACAGCACTGAAAAAAGGGACTTCACGGCCATTGTTCACACTTACGACCATTGCAGCATCCCCCTGGTCACATGATCAGAATTCATTCATTTGGCAACTGGCTCCTATTTATGACAGTCGCAGTGTCCCGGGGTCACGTGATCCCCTTTTGCGACCTGCTCACAAGCAAAGTCAAGGGGGGAGCCAGATTCACTTAACAACCGTGTCACTAACTTAGCTGCAGGCGTTCGCTTAACCATCGTGGCAAGAAAGGTCGTAAGATGGGGCAAAACTCATTTAACAACTATCTCGCTGAGCATCAAAATTTTGGACTCAAATGTGGTCATAAGTCGAGGACTACGTATATTTCAGTCTTCCCTGCTGGATCTTTTTCTCCTCCTCCTCCTCTTTTTTCTTCTCAATTGTGAGAAGAATTCAATTGCGTATGTAAATTGAGGAATAACTGAAGAATAGTTATTCCTAAGAGTTGGAAGGGACCTTGGAGGTCTCCTAGTCCAACCCCGTTTCCCCTCCCTCCTCTTTCTCCTTCAGGAGGGATTTCCAGATAGTGATAACAATCAATCAGGGGAACATTTTGTCTCCAGAAGTTGTGGGTGCCCTTCAAGAAGAGATTGGACAAGCAATTTGTCTGCAATGGTCTAGGGTTTCCTGCCTGAGCAGGGGGTTGGACTAGAAGACCTCCAAGGTCCCTTCCAACTCTGTTATTCTGCTGGTTTCTTAGTTTTACAGCCTTTAGATCAAGCCTGCCACTTCACAGAATGAGAGAGTTGGGAGGGATCTTGGAGGTCTTCATTTGCTCTCCTGACCTAAACAGCATTTGTGTGAGTCATGATGATTAGTCCACTTTTTTTCAGTGGCACCTGGAAACACCTGGAAGCTCTTTCTTCTAAACCATCAGGGGAAAGACAGCGAGTTAGGAAAAAGAAATAGCACAAGGGGGACTGGAGAATGTCTTGGGTAGACCCGTCATGCTGACAATGAGCTTGACCCCAAAGTTAGAACTCAAGAAGCTTCTTGGATGAGAAGCGAAATGTTTTCAGAGAAAATAACCAAGGAAGTCCAGTTGCCTTTGGGAGAAAGCCCTTTTTGGACTTGACCCCAAATCTTGCCTTCCTCTGTTCAGAAATCGGCTGTGCCGTCCTGATAAAACACCCTTGCTTCACTCCAAAACAATCATCTCTCTCTCTCTTTTCTTTCTTCTGAACTTGCAAACTTCGTTATTTGAGAAAACTCAGAGATGGGGAACCTGGGAATTCTGGCCAGGCTGATTTCAAAGACGGGGAGGAAAGAGAGCAGCCAGACCCAAAAAAATAGAGCCAAGCCCTCTCCTCTTCAAAGGAAAACCCAGGCCCCAATCTGGCAGGTGCACCAAAGATCTTGAGAACTTCTGCAACCATCCCTTTGAACACGAGTCCTGCAGACCCAGAAGGGGTGGAACCCAAGTCTGAAATCTAAACCTCCCTTCTCAAATTGCCTGCATTTTTGGGTCTAATGAATGCAATGTGTGTGCATGCAGATATCCCCCATCCGCCCACCCACCCCGCTCTGGTACATATGACGTGTCTGCAGGGACACAATCAAGCCACGAGGCGTGAGATCAGAAGACCAGAAGACCTGCTTCCTGGGTCCTTCAATGTCCATGGAGCTTTATTTTTATTTTTTATTTTTAATTTGATTTATATGCCGCCCTTCTCCGGAGACTCAGGGCGGCTTACAATGCGTTAAGCAATAGCCTTCATTCTTTTGTATATTTTTATACAAAGTCAGCTTATTGCCCCCACAAACTGGGTCCTCATTTCACCTAACTTAGAAAGGATGGAAGGCTGAGTCAACCTTGAGCCTTGGAGAGATTCGAACCAGCAGAAATTGCAGGCAGCTGTGTTAATGACAGGGTGCACTAAACCCCTGTACTATCAAGCTTCTCAGGCATCCGGGTGACAGTTGCCCCAAAGGTGCTTTTTTTCAAGAGGCAGCTGGACTTCCTGGTTTTTCTTTGAAGACGTTTCGCTTCTCATCCAAGAAGCTTCTTCAGCTCAGAGCAGTTGCCTCTTGAAAGGACTCCTTTGGGACCTGCTCCTTGTTCCTTCTTGTGCCAAAAGTGCTTTTTCAGGAGGAAGAAAGAAAGTCCAGTTGCCTCCTGAAAAAGCACCTTTTGGACAACCATGACCTGGATGAAGGAGAATCTCTATAGACTTAGCTCCTTGGTTGTCAAGGAAGCCCTCTAAGCTGGTTGAAGTTCCACAGCTTCCTCCCATCACTTCTTGGGTGGGTCTCTAGCCCAGATGAAAGCTGTCTGCTAGCTGACATCACATATCAAAGTGAACCAGAAGTTCTGGATGCTATAAGTGGAAAGCCACTTATAGACATATGCACTTAATTCATAAATAACGGCAAGGAAAACCCCTGGATTAAGGAAGCAAAAAGCACCTGAAAACATTCCGTGCCCAACATTGCAGATAATCCTCGATTTACGACCACAATTTCGGCTGCTAAGTGAGGCGGTGGTTAAGTGAGTTTTGCGGAACCTTTCTTGCCACCCTTGTGAAGTGAACCCCTGCAGTTGTTAAGCTAGTCACCTGGTTGTTAAGTGAATCTGGCTTCCCCGTGGACTTTGGATGTCTGAAGGTTGCAAAAACACGACCCCTGGGACAATAGCAACCGTCATAAGTACATGCCAGTTGCCCAGTGTCCAAATTTTGATCATGTGATTACTGGGATGTTGCAACGGTCGTAAGTGTGGAAAACAGTCCCAAGTCCTTTTTTTCAGCGCGGCCGTCACTTCAGTCACTAAACGAGGACCAGCTGTGATTTCTCTTTGGTGGCAAAATCTTGAAAACACAGTAGAAGGTGTAACTTTTTCAAAACTCAAATCAGGCAGACCAAGGGCTAATTCTGCACTGTGCTGACTTTTGCAAAGTAGCCAAAAACATGACCAATTATTACCAATGAAGGCAAATATTCACGTCCCAGGATAACGTTGCGAGATCGAATCTGGGTCAGTCATTGGGAGCAGTCCCGGTGATCAACCCAGATTCGATCTTGCAATAAAAATTATTCCTCCACTGTGCTGGGGCTGCTTAGATCTCACAATCTATTTATCCAGAAAGAGTGACAAGGGAGCAGCCTAGGCAGATGACGCTTGGCTTGAAGATCTCTCCTGAGAATATTCAGCTTCCATGAAGCCAGCCTCTTTTTCATTCCCTGCTCTGATGGAAATAATTCAAGATTCAAGAAAACCAGGATAGCTAATCGGGATAAACCTGCTGCGTGAACCCTGCCACTTGGGACAGGGCTGTACAGATGTTTTCAAAAGCTAAATGAAACAACTCTCTTTCTCTCTACTTTCTTTCTCTCACTCTTCCTTTCTCTTTCGCTCCGTTTTTCTCTTCCTCTTCCTCTTCCTCTCCCTCTTTCTTTCTTTCTATCTTTCTCCCTCTCTCTCCCCTCCCTCTTCTTTCTTTGCAGAAAAGGTTGTCATGCTTTATATCTGGATTATTATTTTTTCCTTCTATTTTTTTTTTTAATTTGATTTAAATGCCGCCCTTCTCCGGAGACTCAGGGCGGCTTACAATGCGTTAAGCAATAGCCTTCATCCTTTTGTATATTTATACAAAGTCAGCTTATTGCCCCCACAAACCGGGTCCTCAGTTTACCTACCTTAGAAAGGATGGAAGGCTGAGTCAACCTTGAGCCTTGGCGAGATTCGAACTTGCAGTAATTGCAGGCAGCTGGTGTTAATAACAGTGCTTTAGTCTGCTGCACCACCAGGGCTCAGTTGGTGGGACAACTGAACTAATTCTCAGATTGCCGGGATAAATCCCTGCAGATTGTGGGTTTGTTTTTTTTTTATGGGCGGGGCAGTGGTCAGAAGTGGCTTGCCATTGCCTTCCTCCTGGGGCTGAGAGAGTGTCTGGCCCAAGGTCACCTGGCAAGGTGGGCCTAAATTGGAACTAGAACTCCCGGGCTCCTGGTTTGTAGCCTGAAGCCTTAACCACAACACTCTGAAACTCCACCTGGAATTTTAAAACACCTAATTTTGGAAACAAGAGCCCTACCTGCTTTCTCTGCTCTGTAAACTTCTGAACAGATCGCTTCTGTCGCCTTAATTTTAAATTTAAAAGCCTTTTTTTTTTAAATTGGACTATTGCTTGGGTTCTTTGAGAGTGGACGGGGCTGAAATTTTTGGCAGATGAGAATGCTTCCATCGCTGTGTTGCAAAGTTTGCAGGGGCACCTGGGAAATGGCACTCCATTTTTCTGGAATAATGGAGCTACACTCTGGAACTCTGTTTCTTTATTGTTTTCGAGTGCTTGCATGAAAACGTCTGCAGGCTTCCATGTGTTTGGGGGAAGCTTCTTCTCATGGCAGGAGTGACTTTTTTGGGCCTGCAGGGAGGGTGATGCAAAGCCTGGTAGGCCACCAATGGGTGCCCGTTCCATGGCTTTGCCCCATGCCAAGGAGACCAACCCAACCTCCCAGATCTTGCCTGGCTGTTCCCATAAGTGGAATCAGGCGCATGGAGCATGTCTGCACATCCAGCTGCCCCCACCCCAACTTGTCCTATTCCCCCACCCCCACCTCCGCTCCCAATTCAGGCTCTGGAAAACCACCCATGGCCAGCATCCAGATTTAATAGCATTTCGTGAGTAATGGTAGTGCAAATATCGCTTCAAAGGCAGATACAGGTGAGAAGGAAAACCCGCCACCCCCTCCCTCCCCGGCTAAGAGACCCGGATCCGGAACAGTTGAGAAGCGGATTGAAGAGACGGATTCTGGTTTGCATCTCAGGTGCCAAACTCGCCACGGCCAACTCTCCGCGGGACAAGAGTTACACTAAGATCAAAGAGATGGTGGAACAGAATCCTTAAAGAAAGGATGAGAAAGGAGGGACGGAATGACCGGGGAATGGCAAAAATTAAAAAGGTTTTGTATTTGTTTTCAATAATTAAATTGAATTGTTATGTTGAATTGGCTGTGGGGAGTGGACCGTGGAGAATTGGCTGTGGCGAGTTGTCCTGTTCGGCAGCAAAGATGGCGGCACAGGAGATCCCTTCCGTGTGGGGACGTACAAAGAGCAGGAAGGGGTTTTCGTTACAACTTTGGAGGAGGATTCCCAGTTAGGAACCTGGCTGAGGAAGTGGCCTTCTCAAGAATTTCACCCTCTTCTTAGACACCGAAGGACATTTCTGGAGACCCTCAAATCTCGATTGCACCTTGCTTTGAAGTACAGGTAGTCCTCCACTTACGGCCACAACGGGGCCCAAAACTTATGTTGCTAAGTGAGACACGTTGGTTAAGTGAGCTTTTCACTCTTCCACAACTTTTCTTGCCACATTTGTTAAGTGAATCACTGCGGTTGCTAAATGAATAACACGGTTGTTAAGTGAGTCTGGCTCCCCTGTTGACTTTGCTCGTCAGAAGCTCGCCAAAGGGGATCACGTGACCACGGGACACTGCGACCGTGTCCTTGCCACGCATCCGAATGTAAATCCCGTGAACGTGGGGATGCCGCAACGGTTGTAAGTGTGAAAAACGTCCCTTTTTGTCAGTGCCATTGTAACTTTGAACGGTCACTAAGCGAACGGTTGTAAGTCGAGGACTACCCCTGGGGGACATGAAAGGTGGGAAACTGCCCAGCCGTCTTTGAAGGGCTGGTGCCCCTTGGGACGTCCATGGACGCTCAAGTGAAGACGGCTCAGGAAAGAAGGCACCAAAGACCCTCCCCCATTTTACCTGTGCACAATTTGCACCTGCACAGAAGTCCCAAATTCCTCTGCCAGACAGAACTGGGCACCCAACACTGGTGTGTGTGTGTGTGTGTGTGTGTGTGTGTGTGTGTGTGTGTGTGTCTGCATTTACGCAATGGCCACCAGGAGGGTCTCCTGTGCTGGGCCTGGCAAGGAAGGTGCCTTAGAAAGAGCAACACTCCCCCTTACAGCTGTGCTCGACCTCACCCGCATTTCCTCCCAGGAGGGGGGATGATGGGAGTTGTAGTCCAAACTTCTGGAAGGGAATTGTGCTCTAGCAACCAAAGCAAGGGCCCAAGGCATCACAACCAGCCTGTAACGTAGCAAAGTGGCCGGCCTTGGACTGTGCAGTCATGACCGCCATCTTGGCCCCTTGCTGGATGCCCTGGTCCTCGTCCTCTCTGTGCCGTCCTTCTCCTTCCTCAAGAGGTCTTCCAGGTTGCTGGGGCCTGACGGGTCGCAGCAGCCACCTTCAAGCGTCTCCAGGAAGGGCTTCCTCTTCAGAAGATGGGAAGACCACAGTCATGCAGCTTGGGACATCCGTCCAGCCAGGTCACCGGAGCAGCATTTGGGACAAATTGGGCAGGGGGCAGGTTTTAAGATCTGGGGTTCATCTCAATAGAGCGGTTTCTACAAGGCGACGTCGGTACTCCTTCCTTCCATGCAGTTGTGTGATGGGAAGGATGGTCTCCTGCAATCTTCGTAGGTCTCCTTGGTCTCTTGCCCGGCTCCAGGAGACGGGGTGGGTTCAGCTGAAGGGCTTCACCAGTTTCATGGCAGCGTAGTTCTGCAGAGGGGACAGAAGAACCACAGGGGAGTCAAGGCCAAGAGATGCCAATCAGAACAGTGGTGGGACCAAGCTTCTTCTAGAAAGGGCCAACTCCACCAGAAATGGAATTCTGCAGAGATCTGTGGCTCTTCTGGGCCATAAAAAGCTTTATAGGGGACAACCAGCACCTTGAACTGCACCCAAACTATATGTTGGGACCACCGCAGCTCTTGAACTCAAAGTATCCTATGAGGAAAACATGAGTGCCTATGTCTACTCACACCACCACATTCTGAAAGAGCTCCACTTGCTCTTATGCAAGATGAGCTCCGCAGAAGGAGCATTGGAATGGTTCAAAGGAGAGATTACCAAGGCATGAATGAAAAGAGAAAGTCGTTGGCCTACAAGATGGAACTGTGAAAACGTGGTTCTGGCCACAGTTGCCACCTGCTCCTCGATCAGGTGCTGTGGATGCAAAGATCCTCAGATTAAAACCAGCTCACCACGGGAGGACAAGAACCCACCAAGAACCAAGAAGGAAAGATTCCTGGGGTCAGAAGGCTTCTATGTCCATGGCCACTGCATGTTAGCAGGGCTTAGCTAGAGCTTGGTCCTCCTCACCCACGTCCTCACAGCCTTCAGGAACTATGACGGTATCTCAAGGACATCACTGGAGGTCCATCCTGTACAGCTGAGTATCATCTAAGGGAAAAATAGCTCGACCCCCTCGTCTTTGTTGGAGCCCTTCAATTATTGGAAGACACAACAGGAATAATGCAGTTTTTCTGGCTACATAAGAAGATGTTTTACCAGGATATGCAAAATGGCTTCCTTGCCAATTTTTAAAAACCTCCCTCCCTCCCTCTGTCTACCCATCTCCTCCCTCTCTCCCTTCCATCTTTTCTCTCCCTCCCTTCCTGCCCTCTCCTTCCTTCCTTCCTTCCTTCCTTCCTTCCTTCATCATCCTCCTCTCTCCTTCCATCTTTCTCTCCCTCCCTTCCTCCCTCTCTTCCTTCCTTCCTTCCTTCCTTCCTTCCTCCATCTATCAATCCATCCACTCCCTCTCTCCTTCCATCATTTCTCTCCCTCCCTCCCTGTCCTCTCCTTCCTTCCTTCCTTCCATCCATCCATCCATCCACTCCCTCTCTCCCTTCCATCTTTTCTCTCCCTCCCTTCCTTCTGTCCTTCCTTTTCTTCCTTCCTTCCTTCCTTCCTTCCATCCTTCCATCCATCCATCCATCCATCCACTCCCTCTCTCCCTTCCATCTTTTCTCTCCCTCCCTTCCTTCTGTCCTTCCTTTCTTCCTTTCTTCCTTCCTTCCTTCCTTCCATCCATCCATCCACTCCCTCTCTTGGTGTGGCCTTACCAAGGCATCATAAAGTGGCATTAACCCTTCCCGTAATCTTGATTCTGTCTGCATCTCCTTGATCCCTTGTCCCTGGTAAGCCTCACAGTTACAGATGTTAAACAAATGGGAAGAGAATGGGAAGCCCTGGAGGACCCCAAAAGAAGCCCTCTATGGGCCAACCTCTCCTTTACCGTCACTCTCTGCAGCAGCCCCTTCAGGTGGGAGGAGCATTGCTGCCAAGGAGCCCCCTACTCTCACCCCAGAGGAGGAGACCATCAACCTTCCGGATGGCAGCCTCCGTTCCTCCGTCAAGGATGTCTTGATGCTCACCTCGCCCAACCTCCTCTCACCTCCGGGAGACCCTCCCCATCCTGGGCAGGCAGGGAGGTGCCGGATCTCACCGTTCAGAGCTCTAACATGCTTTTCTTTGGGGCCAATGGAATTAATCCCATCCCAGAGAATCCCACAGGGCTCCCGTCTCAAGAGAAACGAGGGGGTCAATGACAGGTGTCACTTCTGCTTCTAGGGGTCCTCCGGGGCCACCTCCGCCCACCAGAGGGGCTCAGAGCCTTGCAGGCGGGTTGCCGGAGTGAACCCAAAACCCAGAAATGTCTCCGTCCCATCTTCTCCTTTGCACCACCAAAAACAACCGAACGTTATTCCGGGAGCTATGGAGCCGCCCCAGAGAAGAGGGGCCAAAGAAGAGGGGCTCTTCTCCAAAGCCCCCGAAGGCAGGACCAGAAACTACGGATGGAGACTAAGCAAGGAGAGAAGCAACCTGCAATTGAGGAGAAAGTGCCTGAAAGTGAGAACGGTTAACCAGTGGAACTTCTTCCCTGCAGAAATTGTCAGGGCTTCATCCCTGGAAGTTTTTAAGAAGAGACTGGACCACCATTTGTCTGGACTTATATAAGGTCTCCTGCTTGAGCAGGGGGCTGGACTAGAAGACCTCCAGGGTCCCCTCCGACTCTCTTATTCTCTTACTCCACATTCTGCTGTTAGCGCGGATTTATTGGGTCGGTTGGAAGCAGCCCTGCGTTCCCAGCCGGGGTCGGGTGGGTTGTGGAGAAGGAACAGCCAAATCCTCTCCTCCCCCCACCCCCCTTTGCCGCAGGCTGCCTCCCCGGCAGGAGCCAGTTGCAGACATCCAAAGAAAGCCTCACTTCTCTCTCTCCTGAGGGAGCCACGGCTTTACGGGCACGTTGACAGCGCTGGAAAAAGCTCTCCCGAACACCGGCTTTGATTCACACACACACACACACACACACACACACACACACACACGCTCCAGGCAGGCAGGGGGTTCCCTTCCCAACCCACTGGATTGAATTAGGAGAGGCTGATCTCAAAAAAAGAGAAAGAAAGAAAGAAAGAAAGAAAGAAAGAAAGAAAGAAAGA